CCCAAGGTAAAAAAGGACATAGAGGTTAAAATAGTATCTTAACTATAATTATCTGATCCTTTATCAAGAAAATAATACTGTTTACTTTCTGAGCAACTTCTAGACAATGTTATATCAAACTTTTGACTGGTCATCTGATTGCCACTTCAATGCATTTTGTTCTATTAACCACACCCCTGTTCACTGTTGAAAACAGAAGGTATCGCCAAAGTTTTAAAACCTTTGTTATAAACCTATAACAATTATAAACTGCCCAACTTGTTCCTGTATTTTTATTCATGCCAACTTTGTCAACAAATACTGGATATCCTGCGAACCAGCATGGGATCAGACAGGCCTGAAAACTGATGTTTGTTCAATCAGACCCCGTATAAACAGGAAACAGAATTTGCCCTCCTCTAAAAAAAAGTTGGTGAAAGTTTTACGTGACGGGGGATTGTCCTTCACACAGATTTAGGCCACTAAAGCCTTTATTACTTAAATTAATGATGCAGTTCAGACAATAACAGAAAAACTTCTTACTGTTAGATAACTTGTATAACTAAAGATGTATTTTTAGGCTTTTCTGCCTTTATTGTAGCGCTAGGACAGTGGATAGAGTCAGAAATCAGGGAAAGACAGAGTGAGGAGTGACATGCGGAACAAGAGGCAGGTCGGACCACAGCCTCCGCAAGTGGAGGGTGTGCACTAACCACTATGTTAACGATGCCCCCTGTTGTGGTATCATTTTGATTCATTGCTTTTTGTATTCCCATAACGTGACTTACTCTGAAGGCTTTCACATGTTTGAGACATGTTCATGTTGCATTTTGAAAGTAGTAGGCAGAGGCAGATTTTAATTGCTGTTAGTGTTCAATACAGGGTTTTTAACAGTTTCCTACAACCCAATGTGTCTTCTTGTACTTTTTTCTGAACTATCTTTCCAGAACACCATAATCATAAACTGAAAATATCATAAAACCAACTTGGAACCCATCTGCTAGTCTTGTAACACTGTAGACTCTGGGAGTGACTTCAAACTTCTATACACTTAAATACCAAAACTCTTATTAGATAATAGCTGACGCATGTAGATGGAAGATGCATTTCTTCTCTTCTGCTTTTATCACAAACGTTTGAGGTCCATACTATCAAAGCCTTCTGAAACAAAAAGCGGACAGTGAAACTTGGACTGCAAATAGAAACCAGAACTCTACCGATACCCAAAAACATGTCCCTTGTCTGTGCAGGTTCTGCATTTTTATCCAGATTCTGTAGACAACATCTATCAACTTATTGGTTAGCTTGAAATCAGCTTTTAATTGATTTTTGATTTCAGCAGGCGACACCAGTACTGTCTAGCAAACAACTGTTTTGAAAAGCATTAATATCTATAAAAACGAAGCCTGGAAATGCACAACAACATAAAACCTTTTTATTAAAGTGTGTTTCCTGAGGACTCGTCTTAAGATTAATCTGTGCGTGTCATTTTTTTACCCTAAACTCTGGAGAGAATCATTCAGTGAAATGTTCTCTAAGATGCTTTCTGGGCACAGGAGCTGAAGCTGCTCTCGCTGCTGACCTCCTTGGCAGCCAGTCTGGGGGAAGATTTGGGGCCTAATGACTAAAAGGAGGGCTCATGAATATACAGCCGCCCTTCAGAGCTGCAACGGCACCAAAATAACTCGCAGAATTTGGGAATGTGGAGCACTTCAATCACTTAAATCCACCCAGTGAAAGGAGGAATTAGCTTCTTGTCGTCTCCCTCTGAGACCCTCAGACGAGTCGATGGCTCGAGCTGTTGGTTTCAGTCAAGGACACTTGCAGCTCTGGTCTGCAGACTGGGGACTCGGTGCTCAGACTGGAGCGCGCAAAGATGCTGTTTGGTCCTTCATACCAAAAGGATGGACTCTGACTCAGACTGAGGAAACATTCTCACTGAAGTAGAGACAGGTGTGTGTGTGTGTGTGTGTGTGTGTGTGTGTGTGTGTGTGTGTGTGTGTGTGTGTGTGTGTGTGTGTGTGTGTGTGTGTGTGGTGGAAATCATTTGATACCTACATACAGGAGGACTTTGACTCATAAGAAGCAGATACAGAACTCTCATTCCTTGTCTGCTTTCATATAAGAACTTACTCATTCACCAAGTGATTTCATGTGTTTCTATTACGAATATATAAAGGTCTTGTTGGCACTACATTGTATTAACCTTCAGTTTTATGAGGTCTTCTTCTTTCTGAAGTGAGGGACCAAACTCAGTTTAAGGTGCAAGGTAACAAAGTTGATCTGAATCTGAAGTTACATCATCCACATAGGACAGCTACGATATTCTGGGTCTCTGCATCACAGTGACTGGCACTCAAAGTAATTCCACTAAAAAGAGCAGCAAACCATTTTTTTTAAATCACATTTTCACTGGCCATTGTTGTAATTAAATCGGCAGGAAATAGTTAAAGGTGTAATATGTTGAATTTTATTAGAATGTTTACATTACATTTTTGAAATGAATTAAAAAATGACTAAA